CAGTGGTGATATTCAGCGGGTTCGCACAGGTTCGGCCGAACCCGTTGTTAACATTTTCAAAGTTTTCCGAACCTTGTTAAACATATGTAACATTTCTCAATGGTTTGATTCTTTTAAAAATATTAAAATATACGTATTATACTCTGTAACACTACTAAACTAGAGCCTTCCGATGCACTATTTGAGCGAAAAAAAAAATTGTTAAGGAAAAATTTTCTGTTACGAACCTTTTGTTAAATATTTCGAATGTCATCCCTGCCTATATGTATGTTTGTCCAAAAAAAATTTTGGATGAAATACAAACCACACAACTTCAAAATCGCATAAAAAAATCCGCATAAAACGAGACCTTACAGTATAAGAATAATTATAATAATTAAAATTTTTTTTCATACGAAATTAAAACATTTTTTGTGCACGAATTTCGACCCACTTCCGGAGCCTCATACATTTATACTCAAGAAAATAAATTACTTCCATGCCATGATCCAGTAAAAATCAACATTTTATTATTGACTTTTTATAACTAGTAAATAAAATGGACCAAAAAATATCAAAAGCAAGTAATTTATGACAGTTATGAAAGTTAAAAAATTTTTGTAATTCAAAATTGTTATATTTTGATAGAAAACCAAATAAAACATTAATTAGTATCAAAGCACTTCAAAAAACTGACTTATTACACAAACATCTGTGTAATAAATCAGTTTGATAATTTGATGTTTGTCTATGCAAATTTGATTACCATTTATTTTATAATACAGTTGACCCCCCCATAACACTGTTGATAATTCCGTTTTATATGAATTCCATGTTGTACGAGTCACTTAGATTTTACAAATACATGAGCCGTTCACTGCCTGGCACACGTATTTGTAAAATCTAAGTATAAAGTATTGACCTTTTAGCAGAGTGGGAACAAAAGAGGCACGACCTTGTCAATTGGACCCACATGCGGTCGGGTAATACCACTTGTTGACTTGTAAACAGAAGGAAAACAAAAAAAGCACCGGCCTTGTCAATTGGACCCACCTGTAGTCAGACGTTAGACCATTTGCCATATGGTAAACAACTGAATGTAAACAAGTGGCGGACGTTTATGTAAGCTTCACTCTCGTCGGATGACGGCGGACCTGAGTGTAAGCTGTTCGGGCAAGAAGGGGTTGTGATTGGTCAGAAGTCCCTGTCAAAAAAACCCTTAAATTGCGGGGTGAACGAGAGAGGAAGAGAGAAGGGCAAGAGACTGGTACACGGTAATCTCAGTCACTTGGAAGGCATGCTGAGCGTAGAGAGAGTGTTTTCCTCTGATAAATATCTCAGGGACGGGTTAGTGCGGAGACTGGGCTGACCGTGCAGTTGAGCCAACTCCACAGGCTGACTGAGGCCTTTTCAAAGTTTGAAAGTTTCCAGAAGCCAATCTAGTACATGAGTTACCATGCATTGTTATCTTGTATATATATATATATATTGAAAACATAATATATATATATATATATATTATGTTTTCAAACTTGTACCTTTTACATATAGAATCTGTAAATAAACTGTAAATATTATCAATTTGAGTGTGGAGGTGTGCTTTCCATCAAACCTGGATCACTACATGGAATCGTGATAGACATGGAAACCAACTCAATGAGATGGAGTTGGGAAGAATTTCACTAAGATCTTCACTCTGACTTGTACAACATGGAATTCATATAAAACGGAATAATCAACAGTGTTATAGGGAGGTCGACTGTATGTCAAATTTTTATTTAACAAGATTTTGACAGAATTTTGATTATGTAAGGATTTTGAATGTTAGGATACAATTTGTTTGGCCTTTATATAATTGATGGAAAAAACTTTTTAATTACTCCTGTCTTATCAAGTATAATCCACAAAGTCCACAAAGGTAGTGTAGTCAATATTTATTATTATTTTATTTATTATATCAATAGTAATTATATATTTTGTTTAGGAAAAATATATTTACATATACAGTATATATTAGTTTCAGTTCATTAGGCAGTTCAGTTCATTATTAACATTGAATGGTCATAAATGAAATGTTAGGATTAAAATGGAAATATCACATTTCATTATATAACTTATGTATATATAGAGTAGTACTTTAAAGCCTACTGAGAGGTATAATGATTTTTTTTTTTTTTAAATTTATTAGTCTTAACATCCAAATTTTATTGATTCATGTTTTCTAATAATCTTAACTGTCTGCATAATATTGCTAGTATTTAAATCTCATTATCAGAGAAATGAATAACTTAATCAGATTTGCGATATTACATTTGTGTTTTATTTTCAGACTCATTTGAAGCTGAATAAAAAAATAAAATATATTATAACATATAAAAAATACCACTATGCTTTTGTTTTTGATCCTCAGATAGAAATTGTGCCTTTTATTTTATATTTATCTTGTAAAGACCTAGATATTGTACAGGATTTATGCTGTTCTGCTCAGTTATGATATTGTTGACTCACCTAGACTTTTTGTTTTTTATGTAATAGTGTTATATGAATATCCAAGTATTTTGTTTGAAAGAGATAAAAGATATATTAATTAATGATGACAAAACTTCTATGAAAATAATAATTTATGTTTGTGGTTAGAAGATTTTTGTTGTTGGGACTATTTTCATTGAAATGTTATTGTTATATATAAACTTGATTTGATTTTTTGTTAATTGTGTTGCTTTTGAAGATGGTTTATTCTGTTTAAGATTCTTTATTTTTACAGCAATTTACAAAACTTATTTCTCATCTTCATATTCTAAATTTGACTAAAATTTGCTTCAAGTTTGAACTGCATCTGGAATGAAAAATGCACTCAAAGCAAAGAATAAGCTTCTGAACAAAGAATATAATTTCAAATTAGCAATAATGTGTTAAAATTCACAACTGTTATAATTAAATCACATATCTATGTTAAATAATGACAACTGTTAAAACTACCTAAAAACTCTGTTCAACTTAATATAACCTTTACTTATTAATCATGCCATCCAAGAAGTATGTGGAAACAATGAAGTCTAATTTCATTGTTTCCACACACTTCTTGAAGAAGACCTGAAAAATGCTAAGTTGAAAAAGGAACTTCTTAGAAGCATGAAAGCAGTAAACATGGCGGATCTGGCAGCCATATTTAAGATGCCAAAGTCAATAGTGTGCGACCAGTAAATGCAATTTTCATTTTATTATATATTATTTATGTATTCTATTTATTGTTTTCATGTTTTAATTTATTATTAGGGCATTTAATTGTGTTATTTTTACCTTAAATTATGTGTATTTGTCATTTTAAGTTAATTGAAATGGGTATTGTTTAGGGTCTGAGAATAGATTAACTCACTTTTTATTATTTCCAATGGGAAAAATTGCTTTGGACTTCAAACAATTCAGAGTTCGAACAGTCTTCTTGAATGAATTAAATTCAAAGTGTGAGGCACCACTGTACTTTATTATTTTTACTATTAGATGCATTTAAAAATTTTTTTTATTGTCTGAAACATAATTGTACATTAGAATTGATAGCTTTTTACATTTGCAGTCTAAAATATAGTTAGAAGTTAATACAAGTGAACTACATGATGTATTACTCACTTAAAATATTTTTTGAATTTTTATTCTAATATATTTGATACTGATGCTTAAATTTCTTATTCTGATATATTATATTTTATGCAGTACAAAGAAGCTTTCATGAAGGCTAATCCTGACTTTAAATGGTACAAAATGCCAACTCCACCAGCTAGAACACTATTAACTCGACCATCCAACCAGAGGCCTTCAAAATTGCAGCTAACTAGCAATGAAAATCAAGAAGGTAGTTGTGGTATTACACCTGGTAAATTGGCAGGTAAGATAATTGTTCAATGTGATTAAACAGAAACTAATTTAAATTTTCTATTTTGAATGAATAATGCCAATTTTAAGAAATCAAAGGTATTTTTATAGAATATCTAACAAAATTTCAAATTCAAAAATTATTCCACTGAGCATTCTTTTTGTAGAATATGAAAAATTTTTTTAAAAACTTTGATAATATGACATAAACAGAGCATATGTATAGTGATCAATAGGTTAAATGTAACTACGATCAAACCAAGTCTTACATTCATAAGAAATTTTGTTAGGTAGATGCTATAGAAAAAATATCTTCCATGCATATGAAATGCATTTTTCTTCCCTAAAAAGAAGATGCATTTGGAACTTGTAATTAAGTTTGTTTTGGATTCATACTTTTATAAGAAAATCTGGACCTGAAGAAGATCCAAAGAAAGAGAAGGATCAAAAATGTTAGTCCATTTGCTACATACATGACTTATTGGAGTTAAACAAGATTCAAGCACAGAAACTCCAACCTACGAAGTGTTCATGATATTCGAACAGCAATTAAATAGCTAAATAGAAGTTTTATCACCATTTATAAACATACTTTCCTTTATTTCTCACATTTCTTTTTGTAGATATATTTTAATATTAATGTTTTAAAATAAACATATTTTTATGATATTTTTTGTTTTCAAAGAGAAAAATAATGAAAAAGCCAGTCAAAAAATCTAAAAAAAAAAACTGCTTGTTGTAAAGAAATTTTTTGTTTTTACACATTAAAAAGTCCATTAATTAGTGTCTCACACTAAAAATAGGTTATCTGTGACATTGGTGATAATGCCTTTGGCATTTGATTTCACTTTTATTTCCATTAATTGGCATATTGCATCAAGCTTATAATTGTATATGCTATCCTATGATGATGGATGACCCATGCTTAGATTAAAGTTTTCTTTTAATTTAAAAATTTTTACATTAATTTTTGGGAAAATTTTGGGTCCTGTAAATATTCTGCATCTCTGCTTATATGTAAAAATTGAACAAGCATAATTTATTTTTTGAATTTAAATATGATATACAGTAGAGCGTCGTTTATCCGAATCAATTGGGGACTGGGGTGGTTCGGATAATTTATTTTTCGGATAACGAATCATGTACGAAAAAATATATTAATTTATCCCATGTTGAAATTTCTCTCCGTTGCGTGTCGCTTCGCGTTGAATTTTCGTCGATGTTAAGCCTAACGAAGACTATTGTATCGTTAAAAATTATTTTTTTATTTTGTACAAACAAAATAAATTTATTGAAAAATATAAAAACAATAAAAAATTATACTTCAGATGTTAATTTAGTATCAAAAACGTAAAATATTTGAGTAGCCCGAGAAATAGCCGAAGATTGCAGCGCCACAGCACTAGCGAAAATTTAAATTTGCCGACTGGAATGCTTTCAGATAACGGACGTTTCGGATAACCAGCTTTAGGATAAACGACGCTCTACTGTATTATTTCCATCAATTATCCTTCCAATTGAATTTTATAATGCTTTACCATTTTTCAGGTTTACAAATTTATTAATAATATAATTAGTGTTTATCAATTTACATTATCATAGAAGAATTTTATTTTATTGTCAATCTTGTTTATGATGTAGTTCAACATACAACTTTCAGTTGTGATGAATGTGTTGCATGTCTATTAGCTCAACATTGGTTGGTTTGACAATATTAGGAATGTTTTATTAAAATTATTTTCTTTTCACTGATTTATAAATTGAGCTTTGTAACACTTTTTTCTAGCACATTTGATTGCAATGTCAGAAGAACATGGATTATTTTTAGATGTATGAGTCATTTTTGGACATTTACAACCTGCAACTTGGTCTTGCAAAGTAACAATTTTTAGAAGAGCTTAACCATCTGCAAACTGAAGCATTCATTGTTTGTACATTCCATGTCACTGGTTTTGAATGAGCTTATTAGTTGGAGACTTGACATACTGGCAAAGCTATGTGGACAGAGTACTAACACCTTCACATGTTATTATGTTAGTGCACTTACTCAGGAATAGAAAAAGATCATTCTGTAGTTTTTGGTAGATTGTCTATAAGTCTGTAATTTACACATGATTTCTATAGAAACTGGAAAATCCAAGATGTATAGTGTTTGTTTTCTGCAAAACTGCATTAGTTCAAGAAATCTCAATTGGAACACAAATTGAAAGCTTTATCAGTTAAAGAAATAACCACCACTTTTTGTCAGATGGAGGTCAGGAGAGTTTGCTGGAATATAAATTGGTGAAAAGAAAGCCAGTTTTCAAGTTTGCCAGGAAAAGAAATCCTTCTTGTATGCTGCTTCTACTACTAATACTACTCTACAGTTGTACACACAAATTTTCAAACTAACTTCTAATGATTGTTTTCTCTCTCAAAGAAAGTGAGTTGAGAAAACTTTTAGATAACTTCAAAAAGAGAAATTTGGCATTAGTCAATAGAACTCACACTACACAAATTGAAGACAGTTTTGCAATTCTTGAAAGAAGCTAATTTTTCTAAATGTTTTTTGAATTGGAGAAATTATTGAAGAAAGTGTATTGAATGTCATGGTGATTAGTAAAATATTAAATAAATTTCTTTATATTGTGACACACTTTAATTTTTTTGACTTACTGCTGAAATTTTCTGTGTATGTACACATATATATACAACTAGCCTAAATATTGCCAGAGAACTGTAAAGAAGATGCTGTAGTTGGACAAAAGTATAACTGCGTATAAGTTAATGTACAATGCATGCAGCAGATATATCCAGTGCTAATACAGGGAATTACATTGGATAGTTATGACATGATACATGAATGGTCTTTCACCATAAAAGTTTAGAGAGTATATATAATTATATACCATATACTGTCAGTTTATGTTGAGGTTTAAGTTTCATTCTAGATTAACTTTTTCTTTCAGATCTGATAAAAATGACCAGGACAGTAAATACAAATTCACAAGATAAAAGACTGTACAATAAAAGAGAACAAAAGAAAATAGAAGAGATAAGCATATGTGATCACGGGGGCATAAGGCTCCTGTACTATGGTCAGGATAAGAGGTCAGGCGAGTGTAAAGGGAGGTGATTGGGGTCGACGATAAGGTGAAGGGTGAGATCGAGTAAAAGAGTCTACCATTTTTTTAACATATATAAAATAACAATTTATTAAGAATAGGCAAAATGACAAAAGACTACACAAGCTCGTTCTATACCGACCTAGAGAGTTTCTATACGACAGAGAGAGTTTCACAGTGCTTTCATACCTCTTATAGCCGTCCACTTTGACGATTCTGAACGTGGATGCCTTTAAAATATTGATCCAAGGAATAATCCACAAATACAGCACAAATTATATCAAATCGCGACTTTCGTGCTCATTTAATTCGAGGTTCATCGGAGATCGGAATTCGGCTCGTTTAGAAGATCGGCGCGATGTTGTTAATCCTGCGTTCGATAATAGACTCCCCTGAGAGGGGGTAAGAACGGGCCTTTTATCCGTTTTAGTGGGGAATTTCCACCACGTGATCGGATGTACATAGGTTAGGGGTTATAGGTGTTCCAGGGATCTATAACAAATGACGACATTTGAATGCTAACTATCAACCTTTTTGCAAGATGAGATGCAAGTTCTGCAGAGAACAATAGATGTTGCTAGTTATGACCGGAAAGTTTACACAATCCCGGGCAAGATCGTTTTTTCTATTAGGGCATTACATAAACAAAAGTTTTGATTAATTAACAATTTTGTTAATAAATGAGCGATATTTCCGTCACCAAAATTCTGAATCTCACACATAAGAACAATAAAAGTGAGGTGTGAGAAAACAAAAGAAGACTTTTATTGTATAGTCTTATTTTGTGAATTTTCTTTCAAATTTTCTAAATTATTTATCACAGATTTTTGTACATTATTTGTAGTGGCATACACCCTACAGAAAATTACTGAAATAAAAATAAAAATATTTTTACTACTACTATCATCTTGGTACATAATTTGCACTGTCATAAAGCTGCACTTCTGAAGTAGCCTTGAAAACTTGTCATGTAATCCCTATGCAATTTAGCAGAATTGTCTCAGAAATGGGAAAAACAAAATGCCAGGTCTACTATTCTCTTTTCATTTTCTTTCCACTAGCAATTCAGTGTAGCTGAAATTATAAAATAATTGTAAATAAAACAGAAAAACAATGTTTGAGACAGAACCATGTAAGCTTCATTAAGTATTGAAAATAATAGTAGTAATAATCTCTCAGTAGTACTTTCTTCCACAGGTATCATACCACGAGCATTACATACAAGTCTAAAAACATTAGAGCTTTACAACAGCACTTATATTATAGAAAGTTGCCATATTAAACACATGCCACATAGGAAATTTTAAATAAAGATACATGTATAACCAAATGATTGCCATAATTAATTAGGCTATAAATTTGCTATTATTAATGATTAGATATTAAGTAATTTGGTATTAGAGATAGACATTAAGCATTTAAGCAACATCTCTTATCTAAATTAATAATTATAAATTTTAATAATTTATTAAATAAATCTATGGTTATGGTTATATCTAAAGTTTAAATACATCTGGGAACGAAGAATTGCTTGGAGGTCTAGGTGTGTAACTGGCAAGCACATCACACTGTAAGAGGAGGCTGTGGATTCAAGTCCCACTATGGGCCAGTTCTTTTCTTCTAGAAGGTTCTAAATTTATATAATAAATTATTAAAAATTATAATTATTAATTTACATAAGAGATGGTGCCTAATGTCTATTTCTAATACCAAATTACTTAATATCTAATCATTAATAATAGCAAATTGCTAGCCAATTAATTACAGCAATCGTTTGGATTAGTATCAATGTATCAGTCTTTAGGAAGTGTGTTATAGATATGTGCACAAACTGCACATAAACAAAACATTTCCTATTATTTAATCTGAAAGTTTAATTAATAATACATTGGTGTGCAAAACTTAAGCAAAAATATAATTTTTAAGTAGACAGCCATGAAATTGTAGAAAAGAGTTTGTTGTTACAGTACAGTGAACACTCAATACAGTAGAAAGGTGATTCTTATGCAGGAAGAAGACATCACAGGTGATGTGAGGGCACACAAAATGTGTGCAATCAGCATGTGCAGTGCAAGACTACAATAAGAAGGTGGCTTTGATTTCATACTGTATGTGTTCTATTCATTTTTGCACTAGTATACTTTCTTCATCCTTTAAGTATAAAATACTGTATCTATATTCTGAATTTCATGTCTCCCAAGTGATTTCTTGCAGAGTTATGGCAAAAAAACAATCATTGCTTAAGTTTTGCACACCAGTGTACTTTTAACTTTTCTCAATCGATTTGTTTGCATACTTTATTTTTAAATTCAAACAACAGAAAGCTGTTAAACACCAAACTGTTATTAATTATTGCTTTCACATTATCCATTATTAATGTAACAATCCTAATGAACATTTTAAACAAAATAGAAACAATGATCTTTTTCTAAAATTACAGCACATTGGCATTAACAGTAGTACAGGATACAGATTGGAAAATAACATCATAAATTGCTGTGCTGCAATTTTTATCTTTGTATTATCACTGGTGTTTTACATAATAATGTTTTTTTCAACTTGCAGTCTTTTGAATCTATTCTATAGTTTTTATGGATTATTTTATGTATTTAGTCATTGCAGTAAAAGTCATCTCATATTACAACCTTGTTTAAATTAATTTTGTTAAGCTTGATCATGTTTCCAAGCTACACTTCTTTCATATTCAATTCATATTATTTTTCATCCTATTACTATATTTCCCTTTATTAAATCATAGCTACATATCTACTAACCATGAAATTTTAAAATGGCTATACCACTTTAATACTAAGAATGATTGTGTACAATGAAAAGGGGCTTTATTCGCAACGCAAGTATTTTTAAATGTCAGCTTTGGAAAATTGATTCTGCAATATGAAAGTCAATGATATTTGAAAAAATATAGTTTTTGTGTGTAACCTACATAATGAAGATATCTAATATAGTAAACATTTCACTAAGAGAAGATGGGTCAACAGTTGGTGAAATACTATCAGTCTAAATGTTCTATATAGAAAGAGAGTAATATCAGGAGTTGCAAAAACATTTTCAAGACCTAACTAGATTTGCAACTCCAAATCTATGGACTACTGATCTCTTGAAGTTTTGATTTAGGCTAGATCTCATTTCTATAATTCATCTTGTAATTTTTGTTCTCTCTAATATTTTGTGAACATGAAGATTTGAAAAAATCTTTCAACTTAAATAAATAAATCAGTAACATTTATAAAACATTATGATGTTATTTAAGTTAAGAAAAATAATTTATTTTGAATTAAATAATTGATTAATTAATTTTTTTAATATACAGATGAAACTCAAATGGGAGGTTTGAATTCTCTTATTACTCCAAATGTTTCATCATCATCATCATCATCATCGTCATCTACAACAAGTGTTTCAGTAAATAATGTTGAAACTGTTTCTTTACCTAAAATGGATGTATCCAGTATTTCTGCTATTGCTAAACCACCAAAGAAACGTTATTTAATAAATGGAGCATTCCCTTCAAATTTAGAATCATCTGTCGTAACAAATAAATTGACTGATCCTAATACAACAAGTGTGTGTTCAGCATTACTAGAGTTAGCAGAGGTAAGTATTTTAAAAATGTAAATATATTTATAAAATTATATTTAAAATATATAATTCAATAGTGGCGTTCTGTCCATGGAAGCTGTGGAAGCACCGCTTCCCTTGTATTTTCTAAATTATAGATGCATATTGTGAGATTATTTTCATATTTTAACATACTTTGAATTAATTAAAATTAATATTTTATTATAACCTCATTGTGTATGTTGTTACTAATTTCTATACTACATGTGAAAAAATAGAAAGGGAATATTTGTTGTTTGTAAATTAGGAAATGTAATTTTATATTTGGATTAAATAGTTTCCCTGAAGAATCTTTTATTGGAATCATCAGTATCATAAGTATCATGCAATTAATGGTAAATTGTGACATTTTGACTTTAGTCACAAATTCTAAACCTAAATGGAACAATAAATCAGTCCAATTTTTCTGAAGTTGACAGATAATTTAACTCAGTTCAACTTTATAAAATTAGCATACACCTTATGGAAACTCCCCTAATCTGGGGTTTGCCCAATTATAACATTTATGAATCAAAAATACATAAGAAATAATGAAACCTTTGCTCTTATTTGCCAAGCTTAAACTTTTTCAATACAGTCACCTAAATAAACTCTGATTTCAATCCTTTTATCAAATGTTCTCTGATTATTTTTACATTTCAAAGTCTAAATCATATATTTTACAGTTCTTTCTGAAACATTGATATTTTAAAATTCAAAATTATTCATTTTTCAGATGCAGGTTTTTGCAATGTGTTTTCTTTTGACAGTGCATGTAAACACTTAATTATTAATGAAATAAATTTAAATTTGTGAAAGATCTATTAAAGATATAATATAAATTATAAATATTTCATAAATTGCAGCAATTTTTTTTATTAAAAATTATTTTATTAAAATGAGATAAACAGATTAAATTGTTAGTATAAGGACCACAAATCTTAACCTTCTATCTTCCACTTGATGAAATGCATTTCAGATGTCATATCCTTTATTGACATTCTTCTTCAGTCACATTTATAGTGTTCTTTCATTTCTTTGTATTTTAGAGTATTTGAAAATAAAATAATAAAATGATTTAAATAATAACAACAACATGACAAATAATGGGTATAAATTTAGTATTTATTATAAAAGGTTATTTGAAAAAAATAAAAAAGATAAAAGATTATAAGATACAACTTGTTCTGGAGATAAAACGTAATTTTTATTAAAAAAAAACTGATTAATAATAAAAAAAAAGGAAAGAATTAAAAAATATTTAGAACATATCTTAAAAGAAACTAATATAGTTTATGTGATCTCTTGTGCATGTAGTAACCAATACTATTACATAGGAGAAGCAAAAAGGAAAGTTCAAATCAGATTTAATGAACATAAATGAGCTATTAAACTTAAATATAAAAACTCAACAATATCAGAACACTGTGAAAAATTGTAATTGTAATATTGATATGAATGGAATTAAAATATTACTTTATGAAGAAAATATGATAACATAAACAATAAAAGAATATATAAATTATAAATAGACAAAGTGAAATGAATTTAAATGATGGCACCATTTGGTATAATTGAACTTAGCACCATTTGGAATGAATATATTAAGAAAGATTGGAACAATGTAAAGATGAATAGAGAGAGAAGAGAATTGAAAATAAAGTGGTAGGCAAGAGGATTACAGGAAAAAACTATTCAAAAGATCACAGACAGAGGAAGTTGGATCAATACAAAGTTGAAAGAACATTTTAAATGTGACTGAAGAAGGATGTCAATAAATGATATGACATCCAAAATGCATTTCATCAAATGGAGGATAGAGGGGCAAGATTCATGGTCCTTATACTAACAATTTTATCTGTTTATCTTGTTTTAATTAAAGATTTTTTAAAATTTCTATAATTATAAGAGATTTTTAATAAACAAAATAAATTATATAAATTACCATGATTGGAATTATATACAAAAACAAATTTTTAGTTTACATTTAAATGCATTTTATGCATATACATTACTTTGGTTTGTTTTGTGAAATGTTGACATGGAATGCTGTTGTCATCATCATCATCAGTAACAGCATTAAAGAACACTTACTTACTTTCTCTCTTATAGATTGTTTCTGCTTTCATTTTTCTCCATATTTTCTTTTATTATTTTAATTTCCAGTCTTTTTTGATCTTCCTCTTTATTCTTTTTTCAATGTTACTTTTTACATTTAGAATCTTTGTGCTTCATAAATCTTTAATTTATCTGTGGTTTGTGAATTCATCACGTTTTAGATAGAAACGAACCTAATATAAATTTTTAGGAATATATATCAATAAATAATAACAAATTAATGCAAAAAATAAATACTGGAATATTAGTTTAGAATGTGAATTATTTAATGTATAATGCACTACTAAAAACGACAACATAAATCAGTGAATTTTGTAATATCTTTGTTTAATTCATTTGATGAAAATGGCTTTGGGAAGATTTTAATAAAAACCAAATAAATTACAAAATTTTTGAAGCATTTTGTGAATTTTAATGCCATGTAATTTAGTAACAAATTTATTTTTTTTTTTTACATTATAGTAATATTTAAACAAGATTTCATTTATATTTTTATAGATGTATTTCAGTTATATAATTTTTTTGTAGATGTGCACCAATGCTGAAGTGCAAAAAAGATGTGGACCACAGTCTACCTCTAAAAATTGCACATTTAATGTTGGAATATCAAATATCCAAGGAAATGACAGATCTGCCAAAGAATCTCCATTTACTCAGTCCAGTTCTGTTCGAATAAATGCAGGGAAAAATACCTATAGTCAAATACCTGTTTTTAATGTTAATGCTGCCAATTATGTCATTGACCGTGCCTTTAGCCAGTCATTAAACTCAGCTAGTTTTTCCAAGAGCTTTTTAGAGCATCCAATTTCAAAATCATTTGAACCACTTATCTCAAAGACATCAGCATCTACAAAATTAAATGAACATCCTACAGAAATGCAGTTATCAAATCAACAAGAGCAACCACTGAATTTATGTATGGAAAAAGAAAAAACTATTAAAACCAGTCAGCAGCAATTAATTAATCATTTAGTTGTAAAATTTATGGGCGGTCCAGGGTGTAGTAATATAATTGATTCTACAAATGATAAATCAGTGCAAAAATATAATCATACTTCTAATAATTTTCAACAAGAACTCAATAAAGATGAAATTACATCATTTAATTCATATGAAATAAATCATAACACTGATAATATGAATAATAAAAATGATACAGAAAATTTTAATCATAAAGATGATGTTTCTTCACATTGGAACAATCAAATGCCAGACAGAGATATGGTTGGTTCAAAATATGAACTAACAAGAGAAGATTATAAAAGTAATGTTACTCCCCCTGTAAAAAAATTAATTTCTTCACCTCCAAAAAAAGCCAGAGCACTTAGATGTTTGATATCAGATAATCCAGAAAGTGAAAGTCATATAATGGAAGTAGATAGTGATAAAGTGACTAAAGAAAGTCCTTCTAATAGTCATACAAGTAGTCCAGTTGACAGTAATGGTGTATTTGATGTATCACCTGGGCAAAGAAAGTCTCAGCGTTTATGCAAAGGAAAACGATATCAAGCACTTATTTCAGAAGGTTTGATACAACCAGTAAAAGAAAGAAGAACAAGTAAGTCATCAACAAGTGAAGATAAACAAGGAAGTGATACAGAATCAGTTAAAGATGTTGATGTCAGATCACCTGCAAATCGACGTAACAGAAAACGAAATGCTTCAGATTCATCAGAAAGTGTTACAAGCATTAAATCAGATAAAGATGAACCCTCTAAGAAATCAAAGGGAGGGTAAGTAATTATTAATAATTATAAAAATTTATAGGACAAATATCATAAAAATTTTGCATAATAATTATGTAATAGTAAATGTTAATGATTTATAATAAACATTTCTATTTAACATTATACAGTATATCCCCTTATAAGACAGTAGATATGTTCCGTTCTTTATGAATCAATTTTGTAGGAATCACAGTTTACGGACTACAGCTGTTTGAAAGGTTTTCTTCCATAAAATTAATCAATTCTAGACTAATTCGACTCAACATTTCCAAAATACGTATATTTTTTTGGAAATAATCCGTATAAACTACGTTATAAACAAAAAATTGTAGGATTACTTACCGAGTGTGCACCGTTCGACTACGCCCGTTGCTAAAGCTTGTTTTCGTCGCGGAACAGCGCATCAAACCGCGGCCGCGATTTCTGATAAGTTATTTTTCTGCGAAAACTTCGTTGACCTTTGGAGACATCATTAATATAAATAATTTTTATGGCCGTTGAATAAGAAATGTTTCTTTCACAAGAAATGTATAAAATTAGTGCTGTATTAGACTTAC